TCCTCCTCTTCCTCTTTCTCGTCCGCCTGATCTTCCTCCTCCCTCCTCCATTCTCCCTCATCCCTCCCCTCCCTCCCCCTCCTCCTCCTTCTCCTCCTCCCTCCTATGGTTCCTGGGTGTGACGGCTTCCCAGCCTAGACCCCACTGCGTGCTCCTCCACATGCCTGATCAGGGCAACTTGCCTGGGCATCGTTTCTGGATGGGCTGGTGGCGAAGCATCTAGAAGGATGAAGACGGCTTGATAGAAAGCGGTTCCTCTTCAAAACGAGGATCTCGTCCCAAAGTCGCGCACATTCGCCTACAACAACATACAACCGGGTGAATGATCGAGGGCTGCTCCTCTTCAAAAGCGGGCTCTCGCCTGGTGCCGCGCACACTCGCGGTTAAACAGTTGCACCAGCTTCGAGGATGGAGGCGGTTCCTTTCCCAAATGTGGCTGCCGCTTGAAGGCTTGAGTTCCAGTGCTGGAGCTGGCACGAGACGCAGCAGCTGCACGGGTGGGGCCCCCCCTTGGAATGCCGGGGGTAGGTTGGCCTTGGCGCGCCCGCAGGGGTGGCGGTGGTGGGTGGGGCCTCTGTGTGAGCTGCGGGGGTTGGCCGCGGCGCGTCCGCAGGCGTGTCCGCGGGGTGGGTGGGAGCACTTTCCTTTCTGGCCGCGGAGCGGGGTGTGCGTGTGTGCGTGCGTGCGCGCGTGTGTTTTGTGTGTGTGTGCGTGTGTGCGTGTGTGTGTGTGTCTCTCTGTCTGTCAGTCAGTCAGTCAGATTGTCTGTCTGTCTGTCTGTCTGTCTGTCTGTCTGTCTGTCTGTCTGTCTGTCTGTCTGTCTGTCTGTCTGTCTGTCTGTCTCTGTCTGTCTGTCTGTTTGTGTGAATGTCTGTGTGTACGCGTGTGTGCGTGCGTGTGCGTGTGTGTGTGTGCTTCTGTGTGTGCGTCTGTGTGCGTGTGTGATGTACTGCCCCCCTGCAAGGTGTGCAGCGCAGAAAGGGGGAGGGCGAACCGGCCAGACTCCGGCAAAGGCGAAGACCCAGTCGGGTTGGCCAGGTAGCGTTCGCGCGTTGGGGGGGAGCGTGGGGGGGAGGGGTCCGATTCAGGGGGCGGTGCCCGGGGGTGATGGGCACGTCCCCCCCCACCCCATGGCCAACAAGAAGTTTAGGATAACCTTGTGCAGAATTTCCAGGCATGAGGATGGGAGGCTGAATGTAAAAGCATGGCTCTTGGTGGACACTCCGTCGAGCGTTGTGATCAGAACTGTCTTTCCCCATTCCATATCGCTCGCTATGAGAACGCAGGCAGCTTCAAAACGAGGCCCTCGCCTGGCGGGCAAGCACACAAGGAACTCGCCTTTCCAGGAGGCGTTTCATGCAGTGCACGCGGACTGGAAGGACTGCGAGGAGGGGACTTGGGACAGGAGGAAGTATGGTAGCATCGCTGATGCATCCTGCTCTGGTCCTCCTCCTCCTCCCGCTTCTCGTCGTCACGACCAGGGCGCCCTGGCCAGGAGGGCCGAACAACAGCGCCCGGACGTCTGGATGCGAACAGCTCTGGCCGGGGCCTCGGGCGGTCCTGACGAGCCTGTGGGTCTGGAGGGCCATGCTGCCATGCTGCTGTGTGTTTCGCACCCTGGAAGTTGGTTGGGAGGAGGAGGAGGAGAGGGACGGGGGGAGGAGGGGGGCAAACGGAGGAGCAGAGGAGCGTGGAACACCGACACCCACACCGCCAGGGAGCACCCGCGGGAGGAGCCACGGAGGGGTCCCCCTGGTGATGTGGCCCCCCCTATCGCTCGAGGCACCCCCTATCTCCCCAGCTCGGGGGGGGGCATCGATGGTGGTGCTGGTGTCGCCCCTCCTTCCCCCCCAGGAGCAGGGCCGCCCGTGGCCTTCCGAGGGGAGGGGGGGGGCAGAGAGGCCCCGGGACCGGAGAATCGGGGGGAGCGAGGCGGGGCTGTCCGTGGAGCTGTCCGCGCATGGCGCCGCCCCGCAGGGTGGCAGGAACGGAGGGAGGAGGGTCCTGTTCCTCCTCCTCCTCCCCCTCATCCTCTTCCTCCTCCTTTTCCTCCTCCTCCTCCTCCTCCTCCTCCTCCTCCTCCTCCTCCTCCCATTCCTTCTCCTCCTCCCCCTCCTCTACAATTACTCAATATGAATACTACTCTCCCTCTTCCCCTGATGACGGTTTGAAAGTGCTCGACCCCCCCCGCGTAGTTTTTGTTACACACAGGTTTCCCCGGAGCTGGGTTTTCGCATGCATTTAAAAAAATGCTGCTCTCGCTGAGGCGCCGGCCTCATTTTCGGGCCCCGCTCGTTCCGAATCGTGCTCCCGCTGCAGCGCTGGCCTCATTTCCGTGCTTCCGCTCGTTCCGAATCGTGCTCCCGCTGCAGCGCTGGCCTCATTTCCGCGCTTCCGCTCGTTTCGACTCGTGCTCCCGCTGCAGCGCTGGCGTCATTTCCCGTGCCATGCCACGGCATGCAATGCAATGCTAGGTTGATACTACGCTTTGCGGTGCTCTTCTACGCCATGCCATGCCGTGCTCTACAATGCATCGCGTACCCTTTCGGGATCATTGCACTGCTCGACATCCGACTGTGCGAGTAGAGAGGGGATCTACGCCATGGTAAGGGATGGGAGGGAAGGGTAGAATGTCAGATATGACGCGAGCGCACCTAGCTTGTCCTTCTCCCATCTGCTGCCTCCCCTTCCCCGTCGCCCACCTCATCCACCACGCCCACCGTTGCTTCGCCCTCGCCCGCCTCCTCCTAATCAGCATCAAGGCTACCGCCAATCAAGCCGTCGTCCTCGCCATCAAATCACCACACACACCATCGTCACCAGCAACATCATCATAACAATCACCATCAACATCATGATCATCAGCATCAGCATCAGCATCATCATCACCATCACCATCAGCATCACAGTCACCATCACCATCACCGTCATCATCGTCATCATCATCATCATCATCATCATCATCATCACCATCATCATCATCCTCATCCTCATCATCAGCATCATCATCAGCAGCATCATCATCAGCATCAGCATCAACATCATCATCACCATCATCATGTTCTTCATTACACAATCACCTGATTGTGCATCACCGTGATCGCCATGATCTTCAACCTGCTCATCATGTGTCCTTGATTTGATTGTTTTCCTCCACCTACGTAACTGGGTGATGTGGACGGCTCTCCTGATGAGAGGTGGCGCCCTCGACCCCTCCCGCCGGCAAGCAGGCTGAAGGAAACAGAAACCCAAAGGTGACAAGGGAGATGAGCAAGAAGGAGGGTGGATACCTGTGACCACGGAGAAGGGAGGCAGAAGGGGTGCTTCCGCGCCGCCGCAGTGCGGGTGCAGAGATGGACCGAGTGTGGGCCCCACCCGCCCCGGGTGGAGGCAGAGGCCCACCTCGGCTCACCTCCCTTTGTGGAGGCCCGTCCTCCTGTCATCCCGAGGTCCAGAAGTCAAACTGTGCGGGGGGATTGATGAGCCTGTTTTCCACCACCACCACCATAAGTTGGAGGGGGAGGAGGCGGAGGAGGCGGAGGAGGAGGAGGAGGAGGAGGAGGAGGAGGACCACCCCCCTCCAACTTATGGTGGTGGTGGTGGTGGAAAACGCGCCCATCAGGGATGGTGTGCGCGATGCGGCGGCACGCAGCAGGACTGGGCCGTGTGGGTAATGGGGAGGGAGAGAGGGCGCGGGCACAGCGCTGGGCTCAAAGCGCGGTGAAAGCGGCTGCACGAGGAGGAGGAAAAAAGGTCGAGAGGCGAGAGTCGAGAAGGGAGGTGAGGAGCGGGGATGGCCCGAGCGGAGCCACCACCACCCGAGGTGGGGGAGTGATTGGCCCCCTCGGCCTGGATCTTGGGTGCGTGCCGCCGTTAGGTCCACGGCCGCCAGGGGGAGCTGGATTCTCTCCCATCCCCGCCCTGGTGTGCCCGCCGCCCTCCCCTGTCCCGGAGTGGCTGGCGGCGGGGTACAGTGGAGGAGGTTAGTGGGCGAAAGATGGGGGGGAGGGGGTCTGCAAGAGGAAGGCGGGACCGGAATAGGTTATGGGAGGACCTGGAGGTGCCCCAGAGGAGGTAGGTGAGGGTGAGACTGGCCTGCAAGGAGCTCGTGAAGCGGAGGTGCGTGAGGTACCCGTGGGGCAGGAGATGTAGGCGTGGTGCTGGAGTTGGAGTGCGCTGATGTGTGCTGGTGGAGGGCTTCTCGTGCCGCGTCGTGCGGCAGCTGGTGCTGCTGCTGCTGCTGCCGTGGTGGCAGTGAGTGCGTAGTGGAGGTGTGGCGTAGTGTTAGGTCGGGCGTGTCCCCCTGCAGGCGGATTCTGGACGAAAAATCAAAAATAGTCAACAAATTCTTCCAAATGGTCAACCCAAAAAATCGTCCCCAGACTATGTTTCGACTGTTTTGTAATATTCCCCCTATGGAGGGACAAGCCCGACTTAAGCGTTGTGGTTAGAATGGGAAAGGTAGGAGCCACTTAGTCAACGGTCGCGCCATCGTCTGAGAAAAACTAGTAGAGACGCGGGAGGGCTGCGCCCTCAGTGGACGGCCGCAGCTGTCCAAATTGACGCTGGGAAAGATAAGTCTTGGTGCTCGTGTCCCTCGCGGTAAGCGTGGCCCGTGACACGACTCCCTCTCCCAGCGCTGGGCAGCAGGTTGTAAGTCGCCAGGCTATGGAACCTCCCTGCTGCTCCTCCTCCCCCTCCCCCTGCCCCTCCACCTTCTCCTCCTCCTCCTCCTCCTCCTCCTCCTCCTCCTCCTCCTCCGCCTCCCCTCCTCCTCCCCCTCCTCCTCCTCCTCCTCCTCCTCCTCCTCCTCCTCATTTCCCTCCCCTTCCCCCTCCTCCTCCTCCTCCTCATCCTCCTCCTCCTCCTCCTCATCATCCTACTCCTTTTCCCTCTCCTCCTCTTCCTCCCCCTCCTCCTCCTCTTCCTCAGCTCATCCTTGGAGGGACAGCGGAGAGGTAGAGGCACGGGTGCGTGTGACGTCGGATTGGTACAGTAGGTCACTGGTGATTGTCGTGGGTGCCCTCGCCAAATCCTGTGTCTGCTTCGGGGCTAGGCCCTTCCGGAAGGGCACGGCGGCCCGCGGTCCTCTCGCAGAAGATTGCGCGGTGCACGATGTCCAGCACGATACGGGGGTAGTCGTCCAGGTCCTCAGTCTCCATGACGAGGCGGAGGCTGACGATGGCGTCGGCGGTGCTGGTGATGTACACCATATAGTCGATCATGCGATTGGGGTCGATCTTTTCTGTCTGGAGTAACTGCAGCTGGGGTTTCTCTCTGGTCTCGTGTGCCTGGTGGGTGGCGTCGTCCGAGGTATGCTCTCCCAGGGCCCAGTAGACGGTGGGGTTCCACGCCATTGGACTCGGCAGCGGCTCGATCCATGTGATGCGGATGCTCTCGCCCTGCTCGATGGTGAAGCATATATCTTTGTATTTGTCCTCCAACGTCCAGTCCTGGTATGCCGCGCGGACCCGATTGACGTTGCCGCCGGGGTGGCCTAGCGCTGTCCTGAAGAGCGTGGCGATGGGGAAACAGCCGTCTGCTTTAGCCCGTGGCGGCGCGTCCTCGGTGCCGCGGGGGCTCTCACCGCTAATACTCCTGGCCGCCATCCCGCTACCGGGTCTCTAGCCCATGCCCAAGGCGTGGGTCGACGCCTCGGCCTGGAAGCTGGCACGCGTGAGCGGTGTCCCTTTCGGCCGCGGCGGTGGCAGTCGCATTGCTGGTGCGGTCGGCAAGGCTGCATGCGCGTCGTGGGCTGCGGTGGGCTTGGCGACCTGCTGCGTGGTGATGCAGTGGGTGCTTGGCTCCTCTGGGGAATGAAACTGGGCGGCGCATTGTACCTCGGCGGCCGCGCGTGGTCTGTGCCGGTCGTCTCCTTGTCGGTGGGCTCCGTTTGCCGCGCTTCGGTCTTGTAAGGCGTCCCCACTGATGCCCTGATCACTGGCGCCTGGGGTGCGAATGCGCTTGTATTGTGTGCCTCCGGGTAGTGTGGTCCTTCGGCGGTAATGACCTCGTTGGTGCGTGGGGGGAACTGGTCGAAGACGTCGGCCCACTCGCTGCTGTCGCGGTAAATGATGCCGGGACAATTGCATCTGTTACACCTGTCGCCCATCGGGTTTCCCTCAGCGCACAATCTCGGGCCGAAGTCTCTCCACATCGCGATCGGGTTGGTGGCGGTCGGCGCAAGGGTGTCGTTGCTGGACCCTGGGTGGCTGCCACCGGCACGTAGCTTGTCCGCTCCGTTCTGATTGTCCCATAGCTGTTGCAATGTCATGTTCATAGCGACGGAACCCGTGAGCGGGCCATTCGCGATGTCCTTGAACACTTGGGCTGTCTGCAGCAGCTTTTGTCCGTACCTCATGTTGGCGAATGAGGACTGTGGGCCGCGATGGCGAAGCTTGTGAATGTCGAAGATGACGCTCAAACAACATGTTTATTGATGTACTTGCTGATGTATCGCAGCTTTTGCATTGCACCTAGTGGCGCCAGGAGCATTACATCGTTCGATTTCGCAGGTTGTGATCCTGGTGGCAGTGATGTCTTGGGTTCGTCGGCTTCGACGTTGAGCCGAGGCACTCTGTTGATGACTAGGTCGCCCGTGGCCTCGTTCGTGTACCGAAAGGTCTCCTTGTTGTCGTTGGTCCCGTGCACTTTCCAAGGCGATCGTAGCTTCCAGTCGTCTGGGTCACGCTGTCTCGCGAGCCCGCGCGGTTTGTTGTCAGGGTAGGCCCTCGATGGGCACGGTAGTGCCATGGCATGCTCTGGCAATCATGGCATTCCGCCGTCCAGGTTCGGTGGCTCCTCCTTCGGCGCGGCTGGCTCGCAGATCAACAGCAAGATGCGGGCGTGCAGTTTACACCTGGGTGCGAGGTCGATCCGATCCTGGGCTGCAATTGGGTCGGATATCCTTCCTGGTGCCGTCGAGCATGCAAGCCTAGTTTTAGGTGCGATGGCAGTATTCGCAATTTGCAGACAATGAGAGAAGGCCTGCGCCCACCTTTCCTCGGGTTGAATAAAGGCTTGCTTCCTCCACCTTCTCTTCCTCCTCCTCCTCCTCCTCCTCCTCCTCCTCCTCCTCCTCCTCCTCCTCCTCCTCCTCTCGCGGGCGTTCCCGCGTGCGCGGAGTGACGAGGAAGAACGAACGAGGCGTGAAAACGAAGCTTTCGGGAGCTCTGGGGGGCTGCCATGGACCCCTACGAGATTGTTCGGCATCGGGACGCGCTTCATCAACCTGGCCTCGCTGAGCCCTCCGAAGGGTCGCGAACTGGTCCCGACCGCCCGCCCGAGGCCCGAGTTAAGACCCTGACGCCAATATCCGAGGAAGTAAACACTGCATGAGCATTCACTTCGCTGACTTCTTGGGTCAGCGCTGGCCCCCCCCACCCCGTAGCGCGCGGAACGTGCCAGAAGCGGCGCCACAAGCGCCGCCAGGAGGGCTCAACACCGATCCAAGAAATGAGCTCTCGGAGATTTGGAAAGAGGTGACAACAAAAGGGACTTGGTGTTTGTTTTTGAGCTCAATACTCCACAGCCAACGAAACAGTGCAAGCAGCGGCGGGTGGAACCACTACAAGATGCGCCCAAAGGGACGCATAACGAGCTGGGCAAAGCGGCGACGGCGAAGGAACTTGGGGGCCCGAGCGCTGAGCATGACATTGCCACAACGGGTAAGCTTAAAGGGGCCCACCCGCCAGCGATTCACTGCCCGAGTCGGCGCCCCCCTGCAGCCAGAGTCCACCTGTCTTTGCGGGTGGGTGCGGCAGTGGGAGGACACGCAGGCGTTTTCGCATCTTCCATTATCCAGCCTCGAGCTGACCCTTATCATTGAGACTAACGCGCCCCAAGGCGAATACCTTTCTAGGGACTCGTCGTCGGAAACTGAAAGGGCCCGCAAAATGGCATCGGGAACATGATCGACCCACGAACAGAAATGTAACGCATGGCAACGTTGTGAAAGACACCTCATTGGGTGACGGGCAATTGCAATGCTGATTGTATCGATCTTGTTGTACCGTGCCAAAGGCTGTGCTGTGCTGCACCGTGCTGAATTGCGATGTGCCATGCCGCGATTCTGCTCTATAGCGTCGTGGATCGAGTCCAACTTTGCATCCGAGTCCTGACCGAACTGATCTGGATCTTAAGCTCGAGCTGCCTGAACACATAGTAGCTGACCCAGAGCTAATTGACAAGGGGACATGCCAGGAGGACGCGCCGCGAAACGTCCCAAGGGACGCGCCAGGCGACGTGCCATTGGACGTGCCATGGGGACGCACCGCGGGACGTGCCAAGGGGACGCGCTACGGAACGTGCCAATGGATGTGCCACGGAATGTGCCAGGGGACGCGCCACGCGACGTGCCAGGGGGACTCGCCAAGGGACGCCCCACGGAACGTGCCAAGGAGCGTGCCAAAGCAATGCTGATTGTATCGATCTTGATGTACCGTGCCGAAGTCTGTGCTGTGCTGCACCGTGCTGAATTGCGATGTGCCATGCCGCAATTCTGCTCTGTAGCGTCGTGGATCGAGTCCTCCTTTGCATCCGAGTCCTGACCGAACTGATCTGGGTCTTAAGCTCGGGCTGCCTGAACACACAGTATCTACTGCAGAGCTAATTGACAGGGGGACATGCCAGGAGGACGCGCCGCGGAACGTCTCAAGGGACGCGCCAGGCGACATGTCAGGGGACGTGCCATGGGGACGCACCGCGGGACGTGCCAAGGGGACGCGCTACGGAACGTGCTGGGGACAAGCGTTTCGCTCGAGACATCCTGTCAAGATCCTCATTCTAGACATCCGCCTGAGCGACCTGGACACGTGAAAACAAACGTTTCGCTCAACACATCCTCAACACATTCTCGTGCTAGACATCCGCCTGGGCGAACTGGACACGTGAAAACAAGTAACTCGCTCGAGACATCCTCAACACATCATCATGTGAGACGTCCGCCTGGGTGACCTGGGCACGTGAAAACAAGCGTTTCGCTCGAGACGTTTTCAACACCTCCTCATTCTAGACATCCGTTTTGGCGACCTGTACACGTGAAAGCAAACGTCTCGCTCGAGACATCCCCAACACATCTTCATGTTAGACATCCGCCTGGGCGACCTGGACACGTGAAAACAAGCGTATATTTCGAAACATTCTCAACACATCCTCATGCTAGGCATCCGCCTGGGCAACCTGGACACGTGCAAACAAGCATCTCGATCGAGACTTCCTCAACACCTCCTCATTCTAGGCATCCGCCTGGGCGACGAGGACGCGTGAAACCAAACGTCTCGCTCGAGACATCCTCAACAAATCCTGGCGCTTGACCTCTGCCTGGGCAACCTGGAGGCGTGAAACCAAGCGTCTCGCTCGAGGCATCCTCAAGACCTGGGCACGTGAAGCCAAGCATTTCACGTGAGAGATCCTCTAAATTCTGTTCCCCAGGAGAGACAATCTATAACACAAAACAAGCGTTTCGCTCAAGACCTCCTCAACATATTCTGAAACACAAGCGTTTCGCTAGAGACATCCTGAAATTTGAATTCGCCGGCCCCCTTCCCACTCGTTACTGAACGCAACAGAAATCCGCCGGCCCTCTTCCTGTCAGATCCGGGGGTAAACCTACTGAAAGAGGACCCTGGGCCTGCGCCCTTTCCGGGACAAAAAGGTGATGCCGATCGCAGAATACGGATGTCCGTTCCCAACACAATGTTTGCAGGTAGGTGTTCTCATGTCTCTTCTAAGGAACTCGGTCCGTCGACGGGCGGGGCGGCCACGTTCCCGTCCGTCGCCACCCCACCGCGTCTAATCAAAAGCCTTTTGCTGGCCTGGCGGCCCCGCTCCCCTTCGCCACCGCACCGCATAGCTCACACAATATAGCGTACAACACATAGCTGACAACACACCGTTTACATCACACAACTGAAACAACCAAGAACTTGCACCACACAGCTTGCAGCACACAGCTTGCACCACGCATATTTGCCGACCCACATAGCTTACGCCACATAGCTTGCAACACATAGTTTGCACCACATAAGTAGCGTGCACCAAACGGCTTACACATCCACATCGCATCAACTTACTGGCTTGGGCCTATGATGGCTAACCTTCCTTGCTGGTTCTAGCTCTCGCTCTGTGCCTCGAGGGAGGGCGGGGCCATCGCGGCCATCATCGGGGGGTGCATTGCGCGCTCCCACGACCGGGGGGAAGGGAGGGCACCAGAGGGCAGAAGAGCCACCGTCAAACGAACACCCCGACCAGCGAAGCCCGATAGTTGAGTATAGTGCGACTGACCCCTGTAGCCGCCTCTGTGGCCTGGGCCCCCCTAGCCGAGATCCCTCCCTGGTTTGGGGATACGGGCAGTGCTGTTTCGTTTTCGAAACATATGTCCCCAACTGCAGCGTTTAGATGGTAAGGGGTCTGAATGGGGATGGGGATGAAGCGCCTCTGAACTCGGCCAAGCAGGAGCGAGCAGCATGTAGGTGGCGACCTGTATCACAACGCCTGTGTATACCACAGTGCTCGCGTGCACCACAGCGCACATGCACGCCACAGCGCCTCTGTACACTGCGGCCGCCGCGCGCAACTCAGCGCCAGTTTGCGCCGCAATGCCTGCGTGCATCACACCGCCCGTGCACACCATAGCGAGAGTTTACACCGCAACAGCCGTCTGCAACACAGCGCCTGTGTACACCACGGTGCTTGCGTGCACCGCAGCGCCTGTGCACACCACAGCGCACAGCATCCGCGTCCAACACAGCGCTGGTGTACACCACGCTGCCTGCGTGAACAGGACAGGCACAAGAAGCGCCACGATGCAATGCCACATCGCCCCCATGCCACAGCGCCTCCCACTGCACTGCCTCCACAGCACCCCGTGCCTCAAGCGAACTTCTTCAGGAGGACGCCGCCCCTGTCTCTGTGCGCGCCCTGGTCCCAAAGGCACGGCGCACCCTCTTCCTTCCTACTCCTCCTCTTCCTTCCTCTTCCTCCTCCTCCTCCTCCTCCACCTCATCCTCACAGGGAGACACTCGAATATTACAGCGTGCTTCTATCTCCATACGGATAGTTTATTCTAGTCCTCGGTACAGCAATGGTACTTCAGTGGAAACTACACGCGTTCCATTTTGTCATAAGGATTTCTTCGGCAATTCCATTACTAGAATGGTGTTCTGTGGCACACGGTTGCTGCTGTGGTGCGCACAGGCGCCGTGGTTTACACAGGCGTTGTGGTGCACAAAATAAAGGACAAACAGCCACGAAAGCCTCGGTCATCGAATGTCGATCCCGCGTCTGCTCCTCTTTTCCTGCCGCCTCCTGTCTCCTCCTCCTCCTGCTCCCCCTGCCCCTCCTCCTCCTCCTTCTCCTCATCGTACTCCTCCCCTCCTCCTCCTCCTCCTCCTCCTCCTCGTCCTCCTGCTGCTCCTCCTCCTCCTCCTCTTCCTCCCTCTCCTCCTCCTCCTCCTCCTCCTCCTCCTCCCCCCCCCCCCCGTGACGGCAGCAATCGCCCCGAAAGAGAAGAAGAACAACAACAACAACAACAACAACAACAATCATTTTACCCGAACGCTCAGTGTTCTCCCCAGTGCCAGGGTTTTCTTGCGACACCAGCCAATACCCCCACTTCGTGGGGGGGCCGTTCAAGCTCTACCAAATATCCAAACGACTCTTCGAGACCACCCACACCCAGCTTCCCGCCCTATGACGTTGGGACACTTCACTTCGTGGCGTGCGGACGACCCTGGCTACTACACTGGCGTGGG